AACTAGTTGAACCACTATAGTATAATGCTAACTAAATACGAAATCTATTTACTACGAAATTGTTAATGTTTCTAGTATAGGCCTACTCTAATAATGGCTAATAAAATAATGGTTAATAAATACAACTTGTCAGTAGGACTAGTACTACAGTACCAGCAATAGTCTTAATGTTTGATTTCACCTAATAACTTCACTTCAACACCGTTAAATACACCGATGCAACACATAGCCCGCACGGCATTGTGCATGCACAGATACACAGTAGATAGGAGTCCTATCTACTATCTATCTCCTATCTACTGTGTATCTGTGCATGCACAATGGCGTGCGGGCTATGTGTTGCATCGGTGTATTTAACGGTGTTGAAGTGAAGTTATTAGGTCAAATCAAACATTAAGACTATTGCTGGTACTGTAGTAGTAGGCTACTGACAAGTTGTATTTATTAACCATCATTTTATTATTGAAACGGTCCAAGTGCCTGTGATCGAGTACCTAGGTGGTAGTACCGGTTCAAGGATAGAGAACATGTAGCCCATTGAAACCTATGTCATTTTCTTAAATGTGGGGGTAGCCCCTTTAAACTCGACAGGGGTACTGGTGAGGGTGTTCTTTGTTCATTTCAACCGATAAACATGATGTCAGTTAACAGGAAGTGTCGAAAAAATGCGCCTTTTATTGGGCTACATGTTCTCTATCCTTGAGCCGTAGTACCGACTGAATCAGTGAACGAGTAATTCCCCGTGATGTTGATTGTTGTTAGCAAGAATCTATAAAAAATGAACCTCGCTACTAATATTCTTGTAGAAAGTAGTTAATTGAAAACCACGCAGTAAACTCACAATAATTAATGATAAATATGTCTATTATCACTGTATGATATCTGTAGTGAGCACAGTTTACAATTTATCCATCATCGTGTGGCCATCTTGAAATTTCACCTGTGGCGCCACCGTGTGATGGTTAGTGTTAGTATTCGTTCATGATCTTCCGCCAAGGGGTTGGCAGGAGGTTTATTTTCACCAGTTATGTTTTCACCGGCGTGTGACTGTTTGTTGGTTTGTGGGTTTGTGGGTTTGTGAGTTTGTGTACAGCCTAACTGAAAAAGTTATGGACTAGCATTATTTGGATGTCATAAAATTTTCAGGATAGGTCAGAAATCGCCTAACTTAGAATTGATGAGATTTTGATGGGGATCCGGATCCAATTAATTAATTAATAAAATTTTCACGATAGCGATAAGGTCAGAAATGGGGTAACTTAGAATTGATTACATTTTGTGTGTGATCCGGATCCCAATTAAGTTTAATTAACGTAATTTAATTAATTAATAAAAAAATGTCAGCTCTGAATTAATGAATTAATAAATAGAAATTTTCACAGTGAGAGAATTCAGGCTGACCTTGGCGGAGGTCTGTGCTCTAGTTCAACTATATTTTTTTATTTTTTTATTGTATTGTTTGGGTTAGTGGTTAGCACCGGGTTAAGCGACCAAAAACGTTCGTTGTTATGCTTCCCTAACGCCAGATGCGTTCGATTTCTTACCCAGGCGCAGCGCCGTAGCTAGGGGTTTTATTATTTAGGGGAAGGGGGGGGCGGCAAATGAGCCGACATGTGAAGAGTGCGAATCAGTGCGATCAGGGGCGTAAATCCGTAGCCGAGGATGGGGGGGGATGATCGGCTGATAGCGCAGCCATCTATGAAGCAACCCGTCATAAACGCAACCACCGAAACGTGTAAATTCGAAAATTGCACGTGTTGCTATTTAATTAGGCAACACGCGTTGTGGGAGAAATGTAGTTTTTTTTGGGTGGATAGATTTGTGTATAGTTGGGTTTACACGCAAACACAAACATGCATGTGCCAACCCACATCTGGCGCATGCGTGTGCTACAACCTCCTCAAACCTTTGGAGTGACCTCCAACAAGAATAACTTCAGGCAAGAACTAGTGGAATTTCTAGTAGGTTTATTAATATAGCAGGCCAGGACTATCGCAGAAATTACTTACGCATTAAATTAACAAAATCACGATCACATACAAAAAAATGCTCTGTTATAATCGGGAGCCAGCCGCATTAGCAAATATGCCTAACAGAGTAACTAATATCAACACAAACGAAGTGGCTCTGTTTATAGTGCGGAAGGCACGGCGCGGCAGAAGTAGCGAATAGGCTGCAAGTAACTAGTCCCAAAAGTCGTGAAAATCGTCCGCTGACGAGCAGTGGTCGCCGGTCAAAACAGGCGAGTAAATGACGGAGGGCAAACAGTCGCTTGCAAAACGGTTTGATCCCCGAGCAGTCGACAGGAATCAGGCTGAGGCGCGTGGAGGTGAGCTGTACCGCTGTAACTTACACCAGCTGTGCAGTGTAAAGCTGCGCGGACGTCGAGAAGGCGGGCACAATATCCTTTTGCCCAGGGTTTGTCCCGCTGCAAATTAAATCCATCTGCATAAGTCGGCTATTCACTCCACACACTGTTGCACCACCCTACGAGTCAGGTTGCAGCTATCTGTTTAGCGCCGTAGTTTCAGCAGCAGGCAATTAACGTTGAATTCCTTGTGCAGGCTACGTGGTTCAGCTGCGCACTATCTCTCTCACGCTTAGGACGGTCCAACAAAACAAAATGTCCAACCACACTGACAGTGTCGAAACCCGCCAATTGGTTGTTTACCACACGTGACGCAATGACCATGCATGATAATCTAAGTGACATAGATTCGACAACATATAATAAACACATCATGAATAATACATAACGTTATTCAAAAAATCATGCAAACGCGGCAAAAAGTGAAGCAATACAAATGGCATTTTAATTAGGAACGCATCCTGAAGACGCTACATTTAACCCCCTCGCTAGTTGAGCAAGTAGATCGAGCTAACTAATTAATTGAGAACGACACAAATACAATACGTATTCGAAAAGATAAGAGTACTAATCGACAATCTTTGAATTTGTTAGGCCAGTGACCTGATCGGCACTGACGCTGGGTTTGTCGACCCGCGGAGATGGTCGTGTCCAGAACGTAGCGGTGATGCAGCGTTTAAATTGCGTTCCTGGCAGCGCTAGCGGGCCGGTTCGTCGCCTGCAGTCGCCTGCAGGCCGGTTTTGAGGTCTCACCCGACTGCCGCGGATTAATGAAACTCGCAGGCGCGTGGCCCACAAGGGTCGATATCGCTATCTACGCGCTCTTCCCTGTACAGCGACGACTGTAGTCGGTCCACACTGACTTGGCTCACGTTTTCACGCTATTTCGAGGTGAAAACTTGTTTGTTCGCACCTTAGCGACTTTGAACGGTCCTTTGTACAGGTTGCTGCAACGGTTTGCGTACGCGTGTCATCCGGATAAGACGTGCGAACTTTGAAAAGAGATCCTTCGGATGGTAAGTGCCCTTGGTCCAGCCTTGTTGGGTGAGTCTTGCGAATTTTCCCATGTGGTGTCTCACGGGAAACATAATCACAAGGATCAAGGTCAGTTTGTTACTGGAGCATATGAATTTGTCCACGGAAGGCGGCAGAGTTGTGCCAAAAGAGCCAAGTTCAGCTGGGGAGCAGTCTAAAACTCCTTTACCGTGTGCGTACAGCCAAGGAGCCGTTAGCAGGCCAAGTGCTCACTCCGACAGTGTTGCGGGTCCTTCATGCGCTTGTGAGAGGCCGAATTTCAATTGTGGTGAAATCATGCTCCTACCATCAAAATCCCGTTTGCGGCAGGATGATAAGACGTAGTGCCGAACGAGTGTCGCCCAAAGGTTTGGTATAGAGGGCTCGTGAAATAAGGCGAGACTCAATTGACGGCCACGTCGGTGGTGATTGGTGTCGGGTGCTCCCAAACACGGCTACTATCCACCTATCAACGAACGCTCGCGGCGACTGTTTCAGCAGTCTGGTCGGGTATCGAATAGCGCTTGCCGGCCATCGTGTGTATACGGTCCAGCGACAGGTCAACAGGTAAGTGCTAGCCGTTTGATGTGGGCCAGCGGACGCAACTAGGTCAATGTCACATGCCAAATCGCGGGCATGCGGCGCACTGAATGTGCCCATGGCGTGCCTTCGTGTGTCGAAATATTTTTCGATCATTTTGGCATGACTGTCATTGTGGGGCCCATGCTCCGACATCTTTGTTCATGCGCGTCCCAAACAACGAAACGAGAGTGATGGCTTCACGGACGGCGCGGACCACCAGGGTGTGAATAACCCATGTACTGAGTATGAACACGGCGGCGACGGTGTTGCAGAACGGTATGACAGGGACCGGGTGTATCGGGCCTGATACGTCAGCAAAAAATATCACCACCGGTTAGAAATCAATTGGTACTTTGCGGAGCACCAAACGCACGTGGGGTGCAGGTCAGAATGCAAGGCAGAGATGCAATTTCAGCATCGTCTTGCTGAGGGCGATGGCGATGCTCCCGCGAAATCGAACTCGAGTGTTCGGTATGGGGCCACTGCATGGCAAGGTGTCATTCGGGTCTGCGACTAGGATATCAGCAACGCATTGTGCGGTCGCCTTTACATGAGCGTAAATGCAGTCGTAAACTGTGATATGTAATCCGAGATGGCCGGATTCGAGGGGGCTGTGGCATCGGGCCTAGGCGGGCGAAATTGATGGATCAGCGGCTTGTGGTCCGTGTAATACACAGAATATGCGTCCCATCAAGGCATGTACCAGGAAATGCTTGAATAGCTAAGTACACGGCCAGAAGTTCGCGCGCAAAATGTAGCTCGTAGCGCGTCTGCAGCGGGCCAACAATTTTGCGTGAAAAGAACGGCCGATCGGCTGGGCACAAGCTTATCCCGTCCGAGAGCTTTTGCACAACCCGCCGTATAGGCCCGAATGCAGCATGAGTCTACACCAATCGAGACGAGCGCGGGCGCGTTAGTGTTGGGGTAGCGAGTAGACGTGCGCGCGCGCAAACCTGCTACTTTGTCGCAATCGGAGCAATGCTGCGTCGGCATTCGCGGTGTCCAATCGAGAGCTTTCCTCGGAACGCTGCTGTGCTTAGCGCGAGGAGATCGCGTGAGAGGCATTAAGCGTCTGGCGGGCAGTCGGGATAAATCTCGCGATAGAAATGAGCGAGGCCCAAGAATCCCTGCTAAGGCGCTTGAGGGATGTGGGGAACCTCGGCAATCGCGGATAGCGTCTACCCTTATCCGCAGAGCTAATGCCGTCCTGATCAATAGTCGGTGGCGCGAGGAAATCGAGTTTCAGTCAAGACCGAATGAGCACTTATTAGGTGTTACACCACGACACCAGTATTGTTGTAAGCGGCGTGAACCAGCAAGCGCAAAATGCTGCTGCGTGCTGCTCGCATGTTGTCTGATGGCGACCAGCAAGTCGTCTAGTATACGCGTAGACAAACGGCAAATCCGCGCAATACCTTGTCGATAAAGCGCTGAATAGTCTGCGCGGCGCAGCGCAGATCCGAACGGCAAAGCGGTAAATCGAGATAAAGCCGACGGGGTTAGTGATGGCCGTCTTGTGCAGCATCACGCGGGCTCCACGGTATACTGATGAATACGCCCTGCAGATTATTTTGGCCAAAAGTTTTCTTTGCTGTGAAGTCCAGATGCTGAATCCTGTATATGCGGAAGCAGGGATAACGGTCGTTTACCGGTCATGGCGTCGTCATGCGGCGGTAATCACACGACGGACGCGCATTCACATGTAGCCCGGGACTTCTTCGGCACCGATATGCAAACTGTGGGGGCCGGGCCGAGGACCAAGTGACTGTTAGACGGCCGAAATAATGCTAGGTCCAGCATATGGTTAAATTCATCGGCGTCGGATATTGAAGTTTGTCCCCCAGCTGCCTGCGCGGACGCTGGCAACAGGGGTCCGTTCGTTTCGATGTGATGTGTTTACATCGTGCTTACGTCGTCGGAATGATATACGGACGGTTAATAACA